GCGCGGCAATCAGTGCCCCTTCCTTCTCGGCTGCGGCTGTGGACCTGACTTCTGATCCCTGGTTTTTCACTTACTGGTGACTTTGGATAAATCCTTTAACCTCTCTGGGCCATGTTGTAGAATGAGTATGATAATACTTTCTGGCCTACAGCGAAGGATTCATGTTGAAGCAAAAAGGACAAAACCGGGGAAATTCAAGGCTCTGTCACTAGACTGTCGCCTCCTTAGGGCAGGCCCCAGCTGGCAGTTGTTGGTGTGGCAGCGATGGGGTCTCGCCCAGGAGGGGAATGGGAACGCATACTATTTCGGGCCGTAGGTATTGTTTGGATTGTAGACTCTTGTAGTCGTTCGTGTATTCTTCCCCTCATGGTCAGTGATATCAAAAATAAAAAGAATAAGTAAAACATGTAAAGTGGCAAGAGAAAAATGATTGAAGGATTGTCTAATCTTTTAGAGTATTTATGCTGGTGACAGTTATTGATCTATTGGATTTAGTAAATTTTTCTGCCTAAAGATCCATCACAAAAATGGGCTGTTAATCTCAGGAGGTGCCGTTAATTTCGTACCCTGAAAGTGTGCCTTGTGGGGAAAGGTGGGCCTCTGGAGACAGGAATATAAATGACAGTTCACGTGAAAACGCATGATTTATCCAACTGCTGAGTTAAGCCAAGTAACTGTAAGAGACTTATAGATCTCAGCTGTTTCCCAGTTCAAATAAATCCTGTATTTCAAATGGAATATGGCCATTCCTGTAATATAAATAATCTTTCTGTAAATATTGGACAGCATATTTCTTTTTCTGAACAGCACCCTCTCCACCGCCCCAAGCCCATTCCCCATTCCTGCAGACTTTTTTCCCCCTGTCATTGTGACTCGGGAATAGAGAGGTAATCTGCCACCTTCTTCAAATGACTTAAATTATAAACGGAAGAACACCTTACGAGCACCTCAGAAACAGTAGAATTTGGATGAGCTGTGGCTGTCGTCATTCCCCATGAGATGGGGCCTTGTCTGTGTCTCTGCCGGAGTGACTCAGAGCGATGTGAGGGAGAGGGCAGCCGCTGAGGCTCCATCCTCAGTCGCTCCTCGCTGGGGGCTGGCTGCTGCTTGGCCTGTGTCTACCAGGATCAGAGGGCCAGAGGGCCCCCTGCCCCGTGACATGGGACCAGCCTTCAATGGCAGCCTGAAAGATAGCCTCTCAGAGAAAGGGCATGGACTGCAGGCAGCCTCTGTCCCCTCCTCTTCCTGCCTCCCAGCCAGGAATGGCCATCAGTAGCAAGCCCAAGGGTCATCTCTTTAAGCCTGAGCCGATGAAGCCGAGTTGAAGTACTTTCAGATCCTCCAATGAGGTCATCATTTCAATTTTGCAGGAGGAAAGTTCTCTTCTGGCCTCTCGTGATGCTCACAGTCTCCTTGGGAAGTCAGTGGTAGGTGGGGAGGGGATCTGTTTCTTCAGGAGCAAAGTTCTTAGGCGGAGCGTGGGGAGGTGGGGGATGTCGAGGGTCGGGGCGAGGGAATGGAGATTGTAGTATGTGCCTACTATGTGCCATGCTCTGGCAAGGCCTTGCCTGCCTTGTACCACACTGACCCATGCTCCAGGCAGCCCCGTGTGTGGTGTTTCCCACACCACCAAGCAGTTCTCTGACATCAGCTGGGTGTCCGAGAATTCCACGCGTCATGACCCTGTCTATCCAGAGATAGCGTCGGATCCCACACGTGAAGGGCGCAGTCCCACCAGCCTGCCTGCCCTCCACTCAGACGCCAGTCTCAAGTCCAGGTCATCCCCTCTACTTCTGACTGTCTAGCAGTACATCAGGTTCCCATGACCCCCTCCTTGGGTTTGATTAATTTGCTAGAGTGGCTCACAAAACTCAGAGAAATCACAAGTGAATTATAAATGAGTGCAGCTTGGGAACAGCCCGATGGAAGAGGGGCGGAGGACGAGGTGTGAGGAAGGCGTGCGGAGCGTCCACATCCCCTCTGAGCGCGGCTCTCTCCTTGCCAGCAGTACATCAGGTTCCCATGACCCCCTTCTTGGCTTTGATTAATTTGCTAGAGTGGCTCACAAAACTCAGAGAAATCACAAGTGAATTATAAATGAGTGCAGCTTGGGAACAGCCCGATGGAAGAGGGGCGGAGGACAAGGTGTGAGGAAGGCGTGCGGAGCGTCCACATCCCCTCTGAGCGCGGCTCTCTCCTTGCGCCGCCACGTGTTCACCCGCCCCGGGAACTCTGAAACCTGTCCTTTCGGGTCTGCATGGCGGCTCCATCACATAAGCGTGGTCGATTGAATCACTGGCCATTGGTGACTGATGCAGCCCCCAGTTCTTTTCCCCTCCCTTGCAATCAGAGGGTAGAACTGAAAGTTCCAGCCTCCTGAACATGGTTGGTCCCGCCGGCAACCAGCCCTCACCCTTAGGGGATTTCTGAAAGTTACTTTGTTAACGTAAACTCGGGAGTTGATGGAAGGGGGCTTCTTATGAATACCAGGACACCTTTATTGCCCTTGTCACTTAGGAAATTCCAAGGGTTTTAGAAAGAACTGTGTCAGAAATGGGGACGAAGACCAAATATGTATTTCTTACTATAATTACAATATCGCGAGGAGCTGTTAGACTCTTCTAGTTTATATGGAGGGTGAGGAGATGGAAGGGGCGGGCCCCAGGCGTTCGCTCGGGTCTCCGCACGACCGGAGGGCAGCAGGGTCCTCGGGATCCCGGTGCTTGAAAAGCCGGGTCACCTGGAGAGGTACGCGGTACCGGAACCTGCCGGCCCCACTGCACAGCAGTGCTCGTTTCTCCATTAAAGCTGTAAGGTTTCACGTAACGACACAGCATCTGTCTCAGTTCTTTTGGAGATGGATACTGAACCGTAAATTCTAACCAGTCACTTCTTCCTCCCTTCCTCCGTTCCTCCCTTCCTGCTTCAGGCTCACCGGGAGAGAGGAGGGGCTGGCGTGGCCCCTGACGTGACTGTGCACATTGTCCCTGTGGTGAAGACCCATGAAAAACCAACTCAAGTGCCCCCACCCCAGGGCGCAGCCACCAACACGCAGGTCCCCGAAGTGCAGGAGGGGCCGCCCAGCCCCCTGAGCGAGGCCTCCAGCGGGTACTTCTCACACAGCGTCTCCACCGCCACGCTGTCCGACGCGTTCGCCCTGGGCCTGGATGCCACGGCCCAGGCCGGCGGGCAGATGTGCGGCTCGCCCCCTCCTGTCCCCTGCCAGGCCGGCCCTGAGGCTGAGTCCCCGTTTTCATCTGCTGCCCCTGGCGCAGACGGTGCTCTCCCCGCCCCGCCGCAGGGCGAGAGCGGCCTTCCCTCTCCGCCTGTCCCAGCAAAGCAGGCTACACAGAGCGACGGTGGTGGTGGCAGTGCCAGTGCCGCCCAGGCCAATGGAGCGGTTTCCTCCGAGAAGCAGAACGAAGAAGCAGCCACTTCGCCGGCTCGTCTTCCCACTTCTGCCCCTCAGAAGGAGTCACCCCTCCCACAGGGCAGCGGCAACTTTTCCCCGGCCACCAAGCCGCTTGGAGGACCCAAGGACCAGGCCAAGCCAATCACCAGCTTAGAGCTGGATGTCTCCAAACCGCAGTTGCCTCCTGACCTGCTGTCTCAGTCGCCTGCACCAGCATCTCCATTCAGAATCCGCAAGGTGCGAACCTCAGAGCTGAAGTCGTTCACGCGCATGCTCGGCGGGGACCCTGGCTGCCCCTCTGGTGCCACTGAGGACCCGCTGGCCTCAGGAGGGCCAGGCGATGGCAGCTCCGGAGGACAGGGACAGGCTCTGGAGAAGCTGGAAGTCTCCTCTGATTCCGAAGAAGCCAGTGAGGTCCCAGAGTGGCTCAGAGAAGGAGAACACGTTATCGTGGGCACCAGCAAAGTGGGCATTGTGAGATACATCGGGCCCACCGACTTCCAGGAGGGCACGTGGGTTGGAGTGGAGCTGGATTCACCTTCAGGTGAGTGTGGCTTGTTCGGAACAGGTTCCTGACACTGGACGTGCTCACTGTGGTCTGGTGGGAAAGTGCCGGCCCCGCCTGTGGTGCTGCCAAAAGCTTGCTGTGTGCCCTCGGACATGTCTCTGAGTCTCTGAGTCGCCACTTTTCAGAATCAGAAATTTTCGTTAGATAAGCTTTTCTTAAGTGTTTTGAGAGTTAGGTTCTCTTTTTTTAACCTCCAGAAATTTCTCAGAAACCTAAGACATTAATTGAAAGCTACTATAAATTTGGTAATGAATTTAAATGCCATTATTCCTTTTTTAGTCACAGAAGCATTTGCATTTGAACTATAATAGTAGCTGTATCTGCTGCGTTTGCTCGGGTTACAGGCACTGAGCCTGTGTGGATGTTCAGTTGTTACTAAGACATCGCAAGGCTCCTTGGCGCATAGGCTGAGATCAGACAATAGGGTGATCTAAGATCCATCGCAGGCTTGCAAGCCTTTGAAGCCTCATTCTAGAATGGTACAGCTTAAAGCAAATAGAGCATCATTTTCAGAAAAACTGAAGACAGGACTTAAGGAAATTGTCCTTCAGATTTCCTTTTTAAACAGTTTTATTGTGATGCAATTTACATAAAATCCACCCGTTTACAGTATACAGTGGTTTTTAGTATATTTACAGAGTTGTGTAACTATTTCCATAATCTATTTTTAGAATAGGTTTACCACCCCAAAAAGAAACCACATGTCCATTAGCAAGACACTTCCCCTCTTGAAGCCCTAGGTAACCATTACTTTACTTTTTGTCTCTTTAAATTTATATGAAATATCCTAATCTGGACTTTCATGTAAGTGGAACGCTACAACGTGGGCTTTTGCTTCCGGCTTGCGTCACTGAGCATGGTGTTCCCACGGCTCATCCAGTTGTAGCGTGTGTTAGTCCTTGCTGGGCCGAGTGATACCCCATTGTGCATGTGCTGTTTGTGCCTCAGTTTTTGTGTGGACACACGTTTTCCTTTCTCTTGAGTCGATACCCAGGAGTTAGCTCTAAGTTGAACATTTTGAGGACTGCCAGACTGACTTCCATTCTCCCTGCCCACCCAGCCTCTCTGAGGTGAGGGCTGGGAGCTGTGGAGACGGGTTTTGGGGCAGCTCGTGTGTGGCCTGGTGGGCGGAGCTGTGAGGACGGAGCCAAGTTGTAGAGAACCAGCATGGAGGGGCTGTCATTGGACGGTGGAGCCGGTGTTTGCACAGGGAAACCCGAGCCCTGCCCTATGCGGACTCTGTCTCGGGGGCCCCTCAGCTGAGCTGCGAAGTCACTCACTGTCTTTAAAAATAATTTTGGCAAAGAATGTTGTAATTCGGTGGATCTAGAAGATTAATGTATTAA